TAAAGTGGAGAGAGTTTTGTTCAGAGCATATAGAATATTAAATTACTGGAATTTAAATTGATAATCAAGTTTCAAGTTACACAGTTCGAGGTGAAAATTCAGTAGGGTTTCCTTTGGAAATCGAGAATATGTAGATGACAATATGTGATGTGTATTACTGGCTAGGTGACAGTGAAGGAAGGAAGCGCAGATTCATGATGGTTGTTGTTATATGCTCGCTGGTGATTGATGAGCGTAGCTGGGAAGCACTCACATCGAGCAGCATCGCTTTGTAGCTGGTTAGAATGAATTGATTTGTTGATGTGAGATGATGTAGATATGTGGTTCCGTAAGAATTAGCGACGTGTAGATGTTATTCTTGTCGCAGCATGTGTCTGTCAGTGACTTATTATCTTTCTACAGAATTCAGTGTGACACCATTCGAGATTGAAATGGTGTAATAGTAGTAGTAGTAGTAGTAGTAGTAGTAGTTTGAATTGTGATGGTTGCTTTATTCACTGTTTGGAATTTCAGACTTGGTATTGGTATTTTCCATCATATGAGGAATTTTGTTCAGTTTGAGACAGGTATCCGAAAAAGATTTTCTTTTAGTAATAGAAATAACCTTCAGAATTTTGAAAAGTAAATTGTACTGATAACTGCAACTGATGTGTGTGTGTGTGTCGTTTTATCCCTTAATACACAGTTCACTATTCATTCACATGTTGTTTAGTAGTTGTGTAGGTACGTACAATTGTTCTTCTATGCCATTTATATTGACAGCATGTGGACAATTCATCTATGGTCTGCAAGATAAATGTCTTAATATGTTCGAACAGCTTGCTTACAGAGTATTTTTTTAGAACGGTTTTTCCTAATCACTCTGATTTATCCAGACTTTCGTTATAACACATTGTACAAATATATTTTCATTTCGGATAGTGTTCCAAATGTATCTAGGTAACAAACTGAGACTTAGTTTAACACTGTAATTGGCGATAAATAAATAATTCTTACTCAGTGAATTAGTTAAGTTTGTCTATTAGTGGTAGATTTTCAGTTTATAGATTTCACGAAATGTCAGATGATTTCTAAACTGATGTGGTATTCAGAGTTGGACTGACAGCTTCTCTGACTGAATTCATTATAGGATCATAACAAGCGAAGGTGTATTGGGTGAGTGTTTTATTGTGATCTACAAAGCTTTTACGAGATCGTCTCACAAAGTCACGAGGACTCGAATCCAGGACTACAGAATTTCGATGCCAATCTGTAACCATCCATTAAGTCCTTAACTTCCAACTGCTGTCAATTAGCGTTGTGGTCGGAGCATAGTCTGTTCTCCTAGTGAAGGTCACTTCTAACATTCGAATAGAGGAGTTCTGCGAAGCATGAGTTGTCATTACAATTTTCAGAAATATATCTGGAAATGAATCATTAGTAGCAAAAGCAGACTGACATTCAGCTTTTAAATTTGTGGGATTACAGTTCACTTTAGGGTGAACAGCTGCAATAGAATTCAAGTTATATCCTAAGTGTGGGACTTCATGTTTTTACTGTATCCACACTTTATTTCGAATCAAATCAATCTTATGAAAATCAATAAGTACCTTTGTGACCATAACCTCCGACTATACGATATATATGTAAGCGAAAGTACATGAATGGCGCTTCAAATAACATGTTCAATCTCGAAAACCATGGAGAATTATATGTATTTGTGATTCACCAATAGAATGCTGGCCAACCATATACGGAATCTGGACTCGAGTTCCAGCTGATGGACTCCTAAAGTTCGATTCCCTGGTCAGATGTGAGGCTGGCTATATAATCACGTAAAAAAACACCGCTACTGAAACTTTATATCACGAATTGGAGCTCTCAGAGTGAGAAAATAAGGATTTATTTTGACGTATTGAATTATTTCCGAGTGCAGATTTGTTGGGAAAATATTTTGATTTCCATCGGTAGAATGTTGCTTCTGACTGTATCTCATATAACACCAGTAAGTGAATGTTACTTAAATTTGTCAACAGGTTTCATCACTTGGATAAAAATAAGTGTAAATTACACCAGCCTGTAAAATAGACACCGGTTGTTAGCTGTGACCCCTGACTGGTTCTTAAAGTCTTGATTCAAATCTCTGGATCAAATATACATTGTTGACACTAAGGCAATTGGTTTTGATGTATACCATAATTCATAGAGTTTGAACCTTAGAATTCAGTCTGTGAGATTCGAATGTCTCGCTTGTTGCAGTCAGTTAGCTACTCGACCTTGAAGAAATTAGTTTCCTCTAATCGGTTTGAATCTGCACTACTAAGTGCAGAATACAAAGCTATCTATGTTACTACGTACACCATAGCCTACAGTACTGTTGTATGTTCAGCGAACTGATGCATGCGTGCTATTTATTTTGTACAAGAGTCACTGTCTCCTCATACTGTTTGTTGGTAGTATCTAGATATCAGGGAATGTGAGCTTTCTGAAAAATTGAGATGAACGTTGTTGCCAACACACAGGTTCAATTCACCAGGCTGGTTGTCTGGTTCTGACTGGTTGACTTGAACAACCACTGATTTCTTCATATACTTTTACCTATGCATAAAGTTCCCTTAGTTAACTATACAGTGAAAATTAGAAGTTCTGAAATTACAAAATATCGTTTCTTTGCTGATCATTCCAAGCAAGAAGTATGAAGAGTTAGAGTTGTTCAGGACAGTAACCTAGGTAGATGTAAGTGGGCACAAAATACGGATTAACACTACTGATCAATAATCTTTTTTGTTCCTGCTTAAAATGAAATTCATGTTTGCAACCAACATTGATTAAGTTAGGAAAAGTAATACACACTGTTTCTTATTTTTATATGTCTGTAAAGTTGGCTAAGTTTTGTTTATCATTTGAAACTTTTAGAAAAAGTCCCACTTGAATAGATCTTTTGTCATTTTGAGCCTCCTCAAGAAAGTCAAGTTGTTTTAGAATGGTTGTTTTAAGCAATAAAAAAATGTTAGTTGAGCAATTATTAGTTGGCTTTCATTATTCAGGGATAAAGAGGAGGAAAAAAAACAACATATAAGGAGATAATGATTTCTATTTAAGTGTTGGTTTGTAGGGATTTGGTTGGTTTCAGGAATTCATCATGAGCTGACATTAGTAAGCGAACCATTGGAAAACCTGGGTGTACTGGACAGCTGTTTCGTCCTAGTTTGGGACTCTTCAGCAGTACGCACCCACCGGGATTCGAAGCCAGGACCTTCCGTACTGCTGAAGAGTCCCAAACTAGGACGAAACAGCTGTCCAGTACTCCCAGGTTTTCCAATGGTTCTCTAACTAATGTCAGCTCATAATGAAATAATGATTTCTTTTTGTCTCTGTCTCCTGTCATGCAATTTATGTCTGCCGATAGCTCTTTTGTCTCTGTTTATTTGTATCTCTCTTGCGTACTCTAACTCTTTTGTTGTTGGCAGTTTTCATATATCAGTGATAATTTTTTTGTCATCCATGTACAGTGTATATAACTATAAATATCAGTTAGAAGTTAAACAACCAAAAGAAGGCACACTATATGTTATGTGCGTCGGTGACATAGCGGTTAGGACGTTCACCGACCATGCACATGGTTCGGAGTTCGATCCCCGGCCACCGACGCGCTCCTTTATCTCGCTAAGCCAGAAATAATCCTGGTAAAGAGGAAAAGTTGGGTATGAGGCTAGCAACTCCATCCTGTAAAATAAACACTGCTACAGAAACTTCAAGCCACTAGCTTGAAGCCCTATGTTCCACTGGGGAACTTGAAGGAAAAAAAATGTATTGTGTGGGACACAAAATTCTGAGTCGTAGTAAAATACACTCAATAGGTGTAGCTTATTTTTCCTTGTTTTGGTTTTTCCTGTATTGATCACGGTTTTTTTTAATGAAAATTATTGAAATGAATTGATTATGAGAATGTATTTATTGACTGACTGACTGACGGGCGTTAATAAGCAAGAAGCCTTATTTGATCTAGGTTCTGTGTCATTTATCAGTTATCAGTAGTAGTAGACAGTTGCAGGGGTTCTTCATAGACTTGAATATGCTTCATTAAAACTTGCAGTCAGACACCATACTAATAATTTGTTTATGTTGCGGTGTAAATTAGTAGCTAGATTATGATATACTATTCACTTGGTGAGATCGGTATATTATATAGTATATTAAATGAACAAGAAAAGGCTATATAAACCACTTCTCACTATGGACATTTAAAATTTTCCTCTAAGTGAGGATACACTTTGATGTATCTGTAGATAAGCCAATAAATTTATCAAATAGCAATAACAGTACCTTCACCACGACTAGATTTTTATCTCATTGACTATTTTATTATTTCAGTTTTTATTGTGATTCAAGTCATCGGATTGAACACATCACCTATCAAGTGGTTCGCTTAAAGATATTTTTTAAACCATAGATATATTGCATTTTGTGTGTTAGCTCATCAGTAGTAGGAGGTACGTTGAACTAGAGCGGAAACTATGTGTAGTGGTAGTTAGCTACGCTTTATGGACAATCTTCAGAAGTTCTATTTGCAATGAGTTTGATGTTTCTTTCTAATACTTGGGTATATTCTACATCTTGTGTATGTATCATGCACTAAACTAGTAACAGCGCATATAGACACAATAAACTCTGTCACTAGATGAACAGGACATTTTCTTCCCGTCTAATAAAAGTAACAACGAACTACTGGGTTGAACTGAACTGAATGTATCGAAGGTTAACTAGTGGAAATATAAGCGGTGGACTTATCGATCTTGTAGTCATCAAATGACTGTTTTACTTACCAACCAATGAAATAATGACACTTAACTGCTAATAGTATCGTTGGTTTATTCGCCAAACAGTACCAAACTGCTGGAGGTTATATACGGAAATTTATCTTGCATTGATATCAATTGTATTATTATGACATCGTCCTAACCTACCTTATTGTCTTCTGATTCCTTTTTCGTTCTTTCTGTTTTCTGTATTATAAATAGGTCTGCTGGGTTAATCAGAGAGGCAATTAGCAACAACACATTTCTGATGCATTTAGAACAATCACAGAAAGAGGAAATTGTAGCCTGCATGTATAAGAAACAAATCCCACAAGGTTGTTTCATAATACGTGAAGGTGAACCAGGAGATGCATTGTATGTCGTATCAGGTAAGACAGTGCTGTTGGTGAATATACTGCATTTTATTTTTATATGATTTATATTTTGTTCTTCGAAAATTAGTTTAATCTTGATTACTGATCCCTTTTCGATTTCTTTAGGTAAATATCCATATTAGATACTTGAGTGAGAAATAAGTGTATATCGAAAACACTACATTGTTTATGGCATAAAATTGTCATGTTCAGAGAATCTGGAGGGCTTAATTTAGAAGAGTGTTGACGAAAGATATTTCAGTGAATATGGTAGTTATTTTTATTCAAGTTGCATAGGAAGCAGACGTTAGTGAAATTTAAGGCAATGCATGGAGATTTTTGTTCGCCTAATGGATGTGTTAAGATTATATCCTGAATTACTGAAGTCAATCAACAGTTGTACTTCGATGATTACTTAGACAGTATACTGACTGAGAGTATTATGATACTGAGAATTAGTATAATTTCGTGTTCGCTTTTTCTTGTGCTTTCGTTAAATTATATAAAAAGGAAGTTACAGTCAAGCCCTCGAGTGGAACCCGAAAGGGAAGTGGCGAGTGGGTCATCAGTGCAAGGGTGACATGGAGGAGATCGTGTGAAGAGGAGTTGAAACAGTATGGACTAACATGGATGCAGGTACAAAGTACAGCAGAAGGAAGACAGAAGCAAGTGGAGACGTGCAGCTGAAGCTCTATGTTCCACTAGGAACCCAAGGGAGCAATAATAATAATATACAGAAGCTTGTGTTGTGGTTCTAAGAATTATTTTGGACCAATGGTGGATTCATTCTTCATGTTCTTCAAAATTTGTATTATATGTACAGTTTGACTTTTCATAGCCGTAGTAAGATATCTTTGTTAAGAAGGTAACATATTTCACATTGTAAGTCAAGGTTAACCAATATAGTTTGGGTTTAAAATAATCTGCTGAATAAAGGTGTAAAGGTTTACAGATAGATCAACAATGACAATGGGTTAAGACTAAACTACTAATAATGACCACAACCATTGTGGACCCGGTTATTTTTTGTAGTGATACACTGAAAGAAAAATTTGGCTCTGCGGGGATATGTTCACATATTCATGTGTTCATATTTATCTGTCTGTCTGGATAAAAGAACAATTCAATCAATGTAAAGTACCATTTTGTCTGTGTAGACAAGAAACGTCACGTCAGAATAGGTGGAATGTCAAAAAAATCTGTTTAACTCATGTTATTCAAAGAAATAAATTCAATTTCTCTGCTTACCAAGGTTTATTCCTACCTTGTTGCTTTTAAGCAGCGATAAGCCGTCTGTCAGCCTCCTCATTTCAATTTTTCTGCCTACAACATATTTTGTTTACGTGATATACGTGATATATTTACTTCATTTATTAACTAACATTCTACCATAATAATCGTGACTTATTATTAGTAATCCTTCAAAACTCACCTTAATTTTATCTTAAATTATTATAGTGCTTACCGAGTCTCTTATCCACCTATCACGGCAAACACTTTGGAGCCCAGATTCATGGCGAGCAGTTTCAGTTATATTATCGTATTGACTCAAGTCCACTTGCCATAGTATTATTTTTTCGTATAATTTTATCTGTGGGTTTCTTATTACTTGTTTATTACTTGATAATCTTTATGAGTTTATATTTAGGGTATAACGCTACATAGTCTATCACTTTCTAAGCACACACCATATATGTTAATAAACAAATTATATATATATATATATATATATATATATATATATATATATATATAACTTTAGCATATGTAACTGGTGCACTTGGTTGGAAGTGTTTGATGTTGTGAATAGACCTTGCCAACTGGTGTCAGTGAGCACAAAGCCTAGGTCCAGAGCTTCTTGCTGGTTATAAGTCATCGAACACATTGTGTAGCTGTTCCTTCTACAAAGGGATTTCTTGCAGAAGTTAGAATTCAAGGACCATTGGATCGGATCCCAGTGGCTCAATGGTCTACGAGCTCGCCTTGTAACCAGAAGGTCCTGGGTTTGAATCCCAGTGGGTGCGTACTTCTGAAGAGTCGAAACAGCTGTCCAGTACTCCCAGGTTTTCCAGTGGTTCTCCAACTGACGTCAGCTCATGATTAAATCCTCCATGCAATCAAATCTTATTTTATTGATTACATTTGTATATTGCAGTTACAACGTGTTAACAAATTTATTATAATTTTAGTTAGGCCCAACTTCATAAATTACGTTCAGTTGTCAGATAGTGCATAAATATGATATACTTCATTGAATATGAGATATATGTTAGAGGAAGAGATTAGTTTACTAACGAAAAAAAGGAATTGTAAGCCAGTATCTGAACTTCATGCAGAGAAGACACCAGGAGTCGAAACTTTTAAATGTGCTGATATAATCAAACAAACGGGGAATGAGAATGTACTCTTTACTAAAAATGCACTGAAAATGAATATTCTGATTATTGACTAGAGTATTATCAACACATGATGAGTATGATATAGCCATTTATTATTGTCCAAGTGCAACAATTATCTTACGGAAATAAAAGTAATGGATTCTAATGGATTTCTAAAAAAAAATAATCTACTCTCTTGTCTCTTTTATTATTCACATTCAGCATATATTGTCTACTGTACTTACAGTGCTTTAAAGAGCCATATATATATATATATATATATATATATATATATATATATATATATATATATATATATATATATATATATATATATATATATATATATATTATATATATATATATAATGCTTTTCTAGTAAAGGGAATTTTATCTGCATAAAATTTATTCTGCTTTTTTGACAGATTCAGATTATTTGTGCCTTTTGCTAAACTGTATTTGATAAACGACTGGTATAAATTGGTTATGTAAAGCCGTTTCAGGGTTTTTTAAATTTTTTTTATTATTTACAGCTTGATTCCACACTGTATTTTTAGTACAAGTATGGAATTTTCAGTGTGGATATCGGTAGCCCAAATTTTGCAGGCTGACCATAGATATCAGGTGTGAGTCGGCAGGGGATCGAACCTCGGGGCATGTGGATGGTCGGCGAGAGTCCTAACCACTGTGCCCCCGACGCACTTTTCAATTTGTTGCTTGTAGTAATTCCTTCAGGTCATTACACGTGCATTACACGAACACTTTTTAAAAACTAAACTGATAGGAACACAGTCTAAGCAGTTTCATTTACAAGTAATGATCATATCAAAAGAAGAATTTCCTTTTACTTCGTAGAAACACAGTTTTCCGAGCAAAACATAGGTGAAGATTTCCTGCAATTATACATTTCCAAAAAATTCTGAATCGATTATTAATTGAGACAATAAAATATTTTATGCAAACTATATTGGGTAGTACTGGTCTAGCAGAATGATTTTTTGTACCTAACATATGGATCGGGAGGTGGGGGGGCAATGATAACTAAACACAGAAATGAAGAACTCGCCGAACAGCCCTCTTTATCGTGTATGTGAAGTATCCAACTAACTCTGCTGGACTCCACTCTGTTGCTCAGTGTTTCACTCTGCCCTGCTATGTTGGGCTGTGTACCATAAGCATCAAGACAGGGTTAGGGTGTTCTAAGGGTCTAATAAAAATATCGATTGTCCCATATCTGTTTAAGTATTCTTGTCTATATTCTGTCATAATCTGCTAGTAAAAAGCATTTGATGTTTACTTGATTCCTTTGTTATTAGATGGAATCTTAGAAGTATACAAGGACAATTCAATATTGGGACGAATGGAAGTCGGTCGTGCATTTGGTGAACTGGCACTGCTTTACAACTGCAAGAGGACTGCATCTGTTCGAGGTAAGGTTTACCTGGAATATATATATATATATATATATATATATATATATATATATATATATATATATATATATATATATAAGGTTTTATGCATACCACGCATAATTAAGCATTACATTTCGTTTGTAATTGATGTCTCCTTACAGTGTCAAGAAGATTAAGCGTCTACTAGATTTGTACAAAATTGTTTTGTAAGGTGAAAGAAGGGATATGAAGAAGTATAGCATAAAATAAATGTCTCGTCTTGTTATCTCGCCGAATAACTGAGAAAGCGTTGTCTCCCTGAATAATCGCAAATTACAGTTTTCACAACAGGCTTGCATCGATTCATGCTGTTTTGCACAATCTACTTCTCCTGTTCAGCTCCTAAACATTACAGATGTATATGCTATGTCTGGTGCAAACAATAGTTTCTCAGTGGGACATATTATCCCAATCCATTAGGCTGTAACACGCCATTTGAAATTTTCGTGCATCCTTGTTCTTCATACAGTAATAGTGTTTCTCCAGTTAGGTCGAAACAGATAGCCATTACTTGTTTCAAATGCTTCAGAGAAATATTACTGGGGTTGTCTAGTAATAATTCTATAAATCATATAAGAAAGTTATATGTAAGAACTACAGTTTTAGCAGAATAAAATGGTACCATCTTTTATTTCGTTGCCTTCTCGTCAGCTGCTTACATGGCAAAGACATTATTAAATATATCTACAACAACAATTTTAACATACGTGGTCTGGTCAAAACCTTGTACTATAGAGCGAGGAGAATATGCTCTACAGAGAAACTAGAAGAGGAGTTTGAGTTACTTGAAAATATATTGAAGAGAAATGGGTATCCTCAAAGGTTCATCAACAAGTATGGAAGATCTGAAGTCAAAAGAGTAAAACAAATCACAGTGGAAAAAAAGCCAGTCTACCTTCAGCTTGATTACAAAGGTGAAAATATTGCAGCGATGATCAACAGAAGGCTGAGTACATCACTAGCCATAGCGTATCCTGCAGCTAAGTTGGTTCCCGTCTATCGAACAACATGCTCTTTGGTGCAGTCAAAAGTCGATAGATACCCTTCTCATGTTAACTCCAACTGTGTATACAAATTTACATGCATCTGCGGGAGCAGTTACATTGGAAGGACAGAAAGAAGGGCATATCTACGATTTTCTGAACATGTGCCAAAAAGCTTACGTCTAAAGGGAACAAATGCTTTAAATAGTGCCATCACCAGGCATCTTCTCGACACGGGTCATGAGGTGGACGTTGAAAAGTCGTTCAAAATTATCAATAAGCAAAATAGCTCAATTCTCCTTAAGTTTGCTGAAGCCATTTCCATCAAGCGCATGAAACCTGATTTATGCGTCCAGAAAGAAGCGGTTATCAGCCTTTCTTTGCCCTGGTAACTGGATAATTTCACCTCTCTTTCCTCCGAATGTGAAATGCTAAAAGTTTCCATTGTGTTTGATTATTATTGTTCGGAATAGTGGTTAATATTGCATATTTATATATGTATATATTTTTAGTGTATGCGTATATTGATCGATTGATTTTTGTTTAAACTGAACTCTGTGCAAGTATGTTAAAATTATTGTTGTAGATATATTTAATAATGTCTTTGCCATGTAAGCAGCTGACGAGAAGGCAACGAAATAAAAGATGGTACCATTTTATTCTGCTAAAACTGTAGTTCTTGCATTGTTCAAATTCATTAAGGGGAATAAATGTATGAAAGTTATATGTCTTCATTTTTCATGAAGTTAAGCATAAAATGTTGCTTGGAATAGATTTCGTCCCTGACTGATAATGAGAACTACGCAGTTTTGAACTATGACTTCATTCCATACTCAGATTCTTCAACAGTGCACTTTTCATGAGCCCACAAGTGATAAGGTTTCAAATTTTCAATGATCTTAGTGGCATCTTCTCATAACAAAGTTTAAACTGAGGTCAATAAAGTCTTTGTTTAGCAAAAATGTTAATAGTATGCGGCTTTTGTTCTTTTTTTTATTAGCTGTAACAAACGCTTCAGCATGGACGCTGGATCGACGTGTCTTTCAGCAAATTATGATGGCCTCTTGCATTCATAAACAAGAGGAGAACATGAAGTTTTTGGAAAGGTAAATAATAGCTAACCGAGCTCTATAGTTATGCAACGTATATATTGATATAAAGCTTATATATTACACAAACATGACGATCATAAGTTGTGATTAGACTCAAAGTAGCATGTTTCAGCATATTAGAATTTTCTGTTGTTGGCCTGAAGTGAAATTGCGATTGATTTGCTTGTTCAATTTTGTAGATCACTAGGTTGCCTCACAGGCTTTTTCTATTTAGATTACTCTCTGTGAATCATTTAAAAATAGAAGTTTATGGTGCTACAAATAATACCAATAATAATAATAAAATATCACCACTAGTAATTGCCTATAATCCTTTTTGGAGTGCCAGATATGATTTTAAGTCTTAGAATAAAGCGTCTAAAGTGAAATTAGACTTAGTTGGTGTGATTTCAACGAAACGTACTGGTGTTCTAGCAGCATTTGTGTAGTTTTCATATAAATAATGTGAATGAATGATTTTCACAGTAATAATAATAATTATAATGGCCTCTTAGCTTACTCAGCAGAGCTCTGAGGCAGTAGAGTTCTGAAACTTCATTCATCAGTTAATCACATCAAATAAGTATGACAACCTAAGCGAATATCAGATAGTTTGATTAACAGTCCCCAAATTTCATACTTTCTTCGTTATCTTCACCTTTTTTTGAATTGTTACGTAATATGCCTCTTCGTTTTGCTTTGTACTAGAAAACTTCTTCAGCCATATAAACCGGACAAATTTTTGTGATAAGCAAGTAGGAAAACAACACTAATTTGTCATCTGTTTCATTAAAAGCAAATGTTTGTGCTGTTTGGTTGGGTTTGTTAAAGGCAAATGGCCCTTCACATTGTACTTCTGGCGACTAGTCAAGCCGTTCGATAATTGAAGTATAGAGAAAAATGAATCATCCTACCGCTTTTGCAAACCTTTTATCAGCAACCTATTCAATACTTCAATCATATGCACTTATCCATTTCCTGTTCTAGAATTATTAAAATTGCCACTATAGGCTGGTAAAATAAGCCATTCAAAGCTGAGTCATTTGACAACCTTGGCTTTAATTATATATTGAAATAATAAAGAAGTAAATTAACTGAATTTATGTTGTTGCTCAGGGCCCCGTCCAAGACACATGAAATATACAATATAGCATAAAATAAAGTGAGCAAGCTACTTTTTATGTCAAACGAGATAAGCATGCGTAGTAAGTAATATAAATAGGCAAGATTACAAATTTCCGTATGTGTGTATTTGGGTTTAAAAGACACTAATTATGACTATAATGGCAACAGTAATTTAAAGTAAGAGATTTCAGTACGAAACCACATTTTCATATTAGACCTGGTGAAATCCACCGTTTACACGTTCTCTTTCGAATCTAAAAGTTCAGGTGAGAAAATATATGACAAAATGAAGAGAAAATAGTGCGTCAATTGAGATAAATTTGAAATAAATGATTTATGTGCACATTGTGTTTAGAAACCTAAACTGAAAGGACCGATGGGTGGAATTTACTTAGTAGTGATTTTTATCAATGGTGATCTTTTCTGTCGAAACTTTCGATATCATTTCTCTGTCTTTCCTCTCATAGTTATACCTTTACTTCTTATTGACAGTTGACATCAATAACTTTATGCTCTAAGCACCTGCCGCTAAGTTCCCTATTTTATCTCTAGCAGAAATAAGCTTCCCAGCATTAATCATGAGTGATACCGGTATTGTATTTGCGAAATGACCATTTTATCAACAGAGTGAATTCGTTATTTTTTGTCTGCTTATGGCCTACGTATAGGTTTCACATACGAGGTGGATTCATTTTTGGCTTACTGTTGGTTCTGCATGCTTCAATGAGGCAGCAAGCATTAGCGAATCACTTGAAGATTTTAAGTTTTAGTTCCATGGCAGTTATCAGAAAGGAGCTAATGAGGTTCCTTATAATATTTTGTTCTGCATGCACAGTAAGTATCCTTCAGTTTACAGTATTTATTCAAGCGACATTGGCTTATAGGAAGATTTTAAACCATTAACGAAGAATAATTTAGCTGATGGGATGCATTCAACAGGAAACATCAACAACTTACTTTCACATGACTGATGACTTAATAAATTTTGAAGGATGCTTTTCATATGATTGAATTCACATGAAACAACAGTGAAAATTTGAGTCGCCTGTGAATTTGTTTAAAATCCTAAGGGAATTCGATTCTGAAAGCATACTTCAGTGTTGTTTAAATTTTATTCACTTTTACTAGCACTCAATAGTTATTTGGTATGCTAGTAGTTGAAACATCTTTTTTCTTTCTCATTGTGAAGTTGTAATTTGCTGTAGTAACATATCTCATGGACACAATCGGATCTTATTTAACTATTGAGTCTGTGACGATTTGAATGATTTGTAGGCAGACTTCTTTACCAGCTAACACGTCGCTCAGAAAATCGAATCCGATGATGAGATGTGGTTTCCTCTTAGTTTAGAACTCTTTAGCAGTACAGAGTCACTACACTAGTGAAGAGTCTCAGGTTAGAATGAATAGACTGTTTACTGAACTGTAGTTCTCAGTGGTTCTTCTAGCTTTTATTTTCAATTCTTGAAGAAGTCTTCAAAATTTAAATATCTCTAATTATCTTAGTTAAGTTTGTAGGTGTTAATTATTTCAGCTCACTAACCAATGTTTACTTCTCCTGGATATTAGTCAGTTATTTTACGTGTTTGCAGCATTATGTTTAAGGTGGAATATATTTTCAAGGTTTGTTAATAATTATAACGTCCAGTTATAATTTTCGCAGTTTAATGGGCTCTTTTGGTTACAACTTGAATAAGTGGACATAATTTGAAACTGGATGAAATTGCTTCAAGCTATTATTGTAATTAACTATGGAACAATTTTAGCCAAGTGTTTAACTATCTTATAATGAACATATTTTCTTTTCTTATAGTTGCTAAATTTAATTTTCCATTTCAGTACAGATGGTTGGTACAGTCTATACTGTACTAACGTATTAAGCCTGATAATTTTTTAAAAATACTTTTATATTGAGAATGTTTTTTTATCAACTTCTAGTTTCACAGAAGGATGTAGTCTTCCTTTCATTCACCGGATTAGTTACTCACATCCAGATAAATTATTATTATTATTGGTTCTTTGGGTTCCTAGTGGAACATAGGGCTTCAGCTGCACGTCTCCATTTGCTTCTGTCTTCCTTCTGCTGTACTTTGTACCTGCATCCATGTTAGTCCATACTGTTTCAACTCCTCTTCACACGATCTCCTCCATGTCGCCCTTGCACTGATGACCCACTCGCCGCTTCCCTTTTGGGTTTCACTCGAGCAATGGCCTGACGCGTGATGTCACCCAGCGGTGGCCTCCTCAGAGAATGTCCAATCCATCTCCACTTTCTCCTGCATATATGTAGGTTGATTGGTTCTTGTTTTGTTCGCTCCCATAGTTTCTTGTTGTTTGTGATTCTTTCCTGCCCGGCTATCTGATCTTCAGTATAGATCCAGCGAAGACAGTTGTTGATGAAGGTCTGCAACAGGCTGTTGGAAATATTCTTTGTGACCCGCCCGCCAAGTTTTTCATGCGTATAGAAGAACTGACTGGCTTGACGTTTGTATTGAAAATCCGAGCGAATTTTGTTGTTGATGCTGAGTGACGAAGATTTCCGGATTGATTTCAGGTTGATGAATGTGTTTCTCACCTTCCTGATTCTCGATTTGATATCCTCGTTCGTTCCTCCTGTAGTTGAGACAATGCTCCAGATAAATTAGCGACTGGTAAATTTTCAGCACAGTTACTGGGCGCTGTTTGATTTTTGTTAGCTTTTGCCTTTTTTGCTTGTTGCGAAGATTGATATTCAGTAATGCCTTCTATGAAATACAGTAAGTGGGCTAGCATTTTTTTAAAAGTACCACCATTCTTCGACGTAAATCTATTGATAAGGTTGCCTAACCATTTCAGGTAGTTTCAATATTTATGACTAATTGTTCAGTTCTTGCTTAAAAATGGATACATAAAAGTATCACTCCAGAGCAGTTGGAGTTACAAAGTGAAGGGTAGATTTTGTGTTTGAAATTTAGGTAAAGAATAAGACTGACTGGTTTTCAGCGATTCATCTTTGTCCAAGTTTTCGTTAATTTACTATTCTATAGTTTAGTTACATATCTCAAATAGTCCCTGTAAAATATTTTCATTTTAGATAATTATCAATTTCCATGTGGTGTTATATTTATTCTTACTGACTTCGTCTCACTATACCTATGTAAAACTGGGCGACCTGAACAACTATACACGGTTTCACCTTGGTGACAACATTTTAAACTATGTGTATAAAGCTTTAAATGAGGTATATGGAAAGGAATTAGTGCACGAAAACCAGGTATTAGTTTGTTGCTTGTTAATTATCAGTAGTTGCTCAATCAACAGTTGTCAACATTCAGATAAGACTGTGCTAATGTCGACCGCGATTTATGCAATATTTAATGCTGATTTTTGGATTTTCCTTAGCATATATCAGTGCCATCATTATCATATGTAAGGTTTTATGCTTTCTCGTATAATCTTCCGCTCAGATAATAGTAGGTGCATAATACTAATTTATTCATAACATCCTGTGTGAAGTTAAACTATTTTGATCCTTATCATAATATTTTAAAAAAATTTTAATATTGAATGTAGTAAATATAATTTCACCTTTATCACTCAGATATCTTACTTGGTGTTCAGCATAAGATTATCAATTTTGAGACTACTAGTGAATTCAGATGCACTTGGAAGAAAGCATTTAGAAGTGATTTCACTGGTGAATCAGAGTTTTAGTTGAGTTCTGAGACAAAGGTCTTTAAAGTGTACTATTGAAAAAAAAAACAGAACAATGGAAAAAGTAAAAAAAAATGCTGAAAATATTAAGAGAAAGTCAAACACCTTAGTTAAAAATGCTAAGAACCAGTGGATGGATATAACTGATGACATGACGAAAAAGGATTGTGGGACAGGAGATGAGTTCATGGTTTCCT